CAGGGTGATCTCCCATTGCTCGGTCCCAGCTCCTGCCTACCTAGCAGTTTGAAAGCACATCAAAGTGCAAGTAGATACATAGGTACCGCTCCAGCGGGAAGGTAAGCGGTGTTTCCATGCGCTGCTCTGGTTCACCAGAAGCGGCTTAGTCATGCTGACCACATGACCCGGAAGCTGTACGCCGGCTCCCTCGGCTAATAAAGCGAGATGAGCAACCCCAGAGTCGGTCACGACTGGACCAAATGGTCAGGGATCCCTTTACCTTTTACTTTTGTTGCTGCAGCCTGCAATAGCCTTTTCTTTTCGGCTGCTGCATCACACTGTTGACTCGTGTTAGGCTTGTGGGCTACTAAGACTCCTAGATCTTTTCCACATGTACTACTGGAAAGCCAGATGTTCCCCATCTTAAATTTGTGCAGTTGGTTCTTCCTGCCTAAGTGTAGAACTGTACGTTTGTCCCTATTGAAATTCATTTTGTTTTGGCTCAGTTCTCCAATCCGTTAAGGTCATCTTGAATTCCAATTCTGTCATCTGTGGCATTAGCTACCCCTCCCAGTTTGGCGTCATCTGCAAATTGGCTGAGCATCCTCTTGATTCCTTCATTCAAGTCATCTATAAGGATGTTGAACAACAACAGGCCCAGGATGACACAACTAGATACAACTGAGGGATTTGCAAGTAGTTTCTGGATGCGGCTGTGTGCAGGAGTAGACAGAAGGACCATTTTGCTCCCAATGTCTTTGTGGTGACCCTGTAATTTCAAACTGTCTGATTTCATTACTGCTACTAAGGAAATTCAATTACTTCATGAGACTCCACTCAAAGCTCACACCTTTCGTTTATGTCTAGTGTAACTGGGGAGAAGAGCAGTCTCATGTGCATACAATACTGTGCTTGGAGAACATGCATCATTTTTAAAAAATATATCTTTTTGCTAATTGTATTTTCAATGAATGTGTGAAGCATTCACACGTTTGCCTTTGGAATCTGGGAAGGGGCTTCTGAATGTAACGGAAGACACCATTCGCTGAAATGAAAACAGAAGCAGAGATTGTTGCTGTTTAATATTCAGACGAAAAGCATTGTGGATGTCATTTCAAAATTTCCATGTGCTGGAAAATCCTAATTGGCATTGTCATTATAACTGGTCAAAACAGCGCTTGCTATATGAATGAAAAATTAAAAATAAGTTTCACAGTTTTTGAATGAAATGGAAATGACATTTCTCTTGAACGAAAATTGGAGTTTACGATGCTCTAATGTTGGGAAATGTCAAAACAGTTGTGACGTCTTTGAGGCAAAAATTAAGAATTGCAAAATGGTAGTGACATTTCATGAAATTCCACATCTTTCTCAATGACAGCGTCTTTCAAAAGCCATTGTCATACAGAGCTAAAACCAGAGCGCCCTCTTACTCAACTGCACATTGCATATTTATGGCATCTCTTCTGAAACTTCAGAGGGCTTTGCAACTTATTCAAAGCCAGGCTGAGTGCTTGCAGGATTGGAAGCTAACATATCCACTTTGCTCCAGAAGGTAATTGTCTCACAGTTCAAAATTTATTGAAGGAAAAGGGAAATGACGAAGAAAATCATGCTCCACTTGATATCAAAGCAGTCAGATATAGTGTATGTCTTTTCAAATTTTCAAATCCAGAGGAAACAGGCTCAAAAAGACTTGTGACATGGAATGGAACTAGGCCGATCCATCCATCACTCTGGGAAATGGGTGGAATTCAAAATCTTGCTTGGATGTTTATATTTTGTTTATCGCTTTCCCATTTGTGTCTTGCCTCTTTCCCTGTGATTGACGTGGCAAGATTCATCCAACAAGAGCGTCATAAGGACAATCTTAGACTGCTCTCAGATTCACAATGAAAATACAACTTCTTATCTAAATAACATGGCAATGTAAAAAAGCAACTGTTGCCTCAGATTAAATAACATGTTGATCTGCTTGCCAGTCCCTCACGTGCCAAACAATTTGCTTTAATTAATTTTCCCGATGCAGTAACAATGCTATTAGAAATCATCCCGAGAAAGGCAAACAGCCTGATTGCTTAGTGCAGTGAGGTCGTTTCACTTAAACAAACACTTCCGTTAATGTTCCTTCCCAAAGAATCTGCATCCCGACGCACAGCATAAAAGCTCAGTCCCCTGGCACTCACTCACCAGAAACTCTTATGCCACTAATATTTAAAATGGCTGGAATGAGACTTAATAACACATATTGCAACGGAACACACACATGGATATTTGAAAACCCACCGAGAACACTTACCAAGGTGGAAATTTAAATGCACGTATAATTATGGCACAATGCGATAAAGAGAGGCTGTGTGCGAGACGCCTGATCAGAAGCTCGGAAACGCGATACATGCTGGGCTTACAATGTGCACTGAACAAATTGTAGGGGTTTTTAATATATAAAGTTCTCTGGTTTCAGACTAACATGTAGAGAAATACAGCACTTAAGACCAGAAGCCACAAATGGAGGAATCAACAGCCATGATGGCATAAATCCTGCAGAAGACACCCAAATCAGTTCAGTTGTGGTATGGGTGTGGGGTGGCGGGAGGGACGGTTGCCAGCAAAGCAGCTACAGTCTGCTGCCAATGGCCACATTCATATCAATCATTTAAAGCACTATGATGCAACTTTAAACTGTCATGGCTTCCCCCAAAGAATTCTGGGAGCTGTTGTTTGATTAGAGTGCTGAGAGTTGTTAGGAGGGCCCTATTCCCTCCCAGAGCTACAGTTCCCAGAATTCCCTGTGAAGAGGGACTGATTGTTAAACCATTCTGGGAACTGTAGCTCTGTGAGCAGAAGAGGGTTCTCCTAACAATTCTCAGCACTCTTAACAAACCGCAGCTCCCAGAATCCTTTGGGGGAAGCCATGATGGTTTAAAATACAATCATAGTGCTTTGAATGGACGGCGTGAATGGGTCCTAAATATCTATTGGCTGGGAGGAAGAAGCAGAGAAAGGAACAGTAGAAAATATCCACTGAATGGTTCACAGCGGACAAAAAGTCCATAGCATTGGTGTGCCCTTGAGCAGGGCTACATGCTATAGAACTTTTGAGGCAATTGGAAGAGATTTAAGGGAGCCAGCGTGGTATAGTGGTTAAGAGCAGTGGACTCGTAATCTGGTGAACCAGGTTCGCTTCCCTGCTCCTTCACATGCAGCTGCTGGGTGACCTTGGGCCAGTCACACTTCTCTGAAGTCTCTCAGCCTCACTCACCTCACAGAGTGTTTGTTGTGGGGGAGGAAGGGAAAAGGAGATTGTTAGCTGCTTTGAGACTCCTTTGGGATAAAGCGGGATATCAAATCCAAACTCTTCTTCTTCTTCTTCTTCGACATGGAAGAATGGGAGCATTGTGGGTTGCTCCTGTTCAGCGTTCAAGCCAGAAGTGGCTCATCAGATGGGGTGAAGCCACTGCACTAGAACATAGAACAGACCAATGGCCCATCTGGTTCAGTATTCATGTTCTCACAGTAGCCACCCAAATGCCTGTGTGAGGCCCACAAGCAGGGTCCAAGCACATGAGCACTTTCGCCTCATGTGGTTTCCAGCACCTGGTAACTGTGGAGGCAGAGCATAGCCCTTGTGGCTGGTAGCCACTGATATCCTCAATGAATTTGTCCAATCCACTTTTAAAGCCATTCCTGCCTCCTGTGGGAGCAAGTTTCATAGTTTAACTATGGGCCGCATGGAGAAATACTTTCTTTTATCTGCCCTGAAGGTCCCAACACTCTGTTTCACTGGATATCCATGAGTTCTACTGTTAGCAGGTGGGTCACTGTAATTAATAATAATAATAATACCCAATCCATCTGGCTGGGTTTCCCAACAGATTAAAAACAGAATAAAACATTAAAAACTCCCTAAACAGGGCTGCCTTCAGATGCCTTCTAAAAGTCAGATAGTTGTTTATTTCCTTGATACCTGATGGGAGAGCCTTCCACAGGGCGGGCGCCACTACCAAAAAGGCCCTCTGCCTGTAACCTCACTTCTCACAGGGAGGGTACCACCAGAAGGCCCTCAGAGCTGGACCTCAGTGTCCGGGCTGAACGATGGGGGTGGAGACACTCCTTCAGGTATATAGGGCCAAGGCCGTTTGGGGCTTTAAGGGTCAACACCAATACTTTGAATTGTGCTCGGAAACGTACTGTTGCTTACAGAGTTTGTGGGTGGGGTGTAGTCAGGTCGACTCTCTCCCAGTCAGCAACAACAAGCCAGCTGCCACTTCCGGTGCCAACCAGCCATATCCTTTCCCAGAATTCTTCATTCCATTTCACTGGTTTTTGTCCCCTGCCCCCAGCATCCTCATTGTGCTCTTTAGGGTAATTTTTTTTTTGTACTTACACAAGCTTTTGAGTTATCTTCAAGCACACAACCCTCTTCTTTTCTCAGTGGCCCACTCAGCAGCTGAGTTCAATTGGAAGGAGGAACAGGTTACACAGATGATTTTATGCATTTATTTTAGGCCTTTGTATTTTAAGCATTTACAGGCTGCCCTTCAACAAGTTCCCAAGGTGACTTATATAAACGGAATAGTAAAAAACAAGGAAAGAAGAAAATGTGGTTTTTTAAAAATACAACATAGAATAAAAGCAACAGCAGGGATTTTGCGTTCCATATGAGGGCTGCATGTGTATTTATTATTGCTGGTTAACATCGGAGCCTAAGAGCATCACCTGCTGGGTCAGATGAATGGCCCATGTAGTCCAGCATCCTGTTTCTCCCAGTGAACAACCAGATGCCTATGGCAAACCCAGAAGAAGGACCTGTCTTGGTGCAAGATCACTCTCTCCACACACACACACACACACACACACACACACCAGTTATTCCCAGCACTTCAGCAGTGGAGGTAGAACATAACCAGGATGTCTAGTAGCCACTGATAGTTTTGCCTTCCATGAATTTGCCTAATGCTCTTTTAATGTTATATTAATGTTGTGGTTTTATGGAAGGTTTTGCATTGTACTCTGTTTCAGCTCAGTCAATGGAGCATGAGATTCTTAATCTCAGGGTTGCGGGTTCGAGCCCCACGGGCAAAAGATTCCTGCATTGAAGGGGGTTGGACTAGATGACCCTCGTGGTACCTTCCAACTCTACAATTCGATGATTATTGTCCAAATTACATCTGTAATTGTGTAAACCACCTGGGGGGGTATTACTCATAAAGGCAGCCTATAATAGATAGATGATAGATAGATAGATAGATAGATAGATAGATAGATAGATGATAGATAGATAGGCAGATGATAGGTAGGTAGGTAGGTAGGTAGATGATAGGTAGGTAGATAGATGATAGGTAGGTAGGTAGATTGATAGATTGATAGATTGATAGACTGATAGATTGATAGATCGATAGATCGATAGATCGATAGATAGATCGATAGATCGATAGATGATAGATGAGAGAGAGAGATTAAAAAGCAGCAGAACATAATTGGGAAAGGCTCAGTTCCTGGATTTTTTTAAAAAAAGATCTCTGCCTATCATTAAAAGGTAAGCAGCAAGCCAGCCTTTCTAGGAGAGTATTCCATAAATAGGGCTCCACCAATGAAAATACCCCATCCTCAGTGACCACCTGGTGGGTGTACTCAGAGAATGACTTCAGATGGAGTTCGCAAAGTCCAGATAGGCAGTACACAAACAGAAGCCTTCAGATAGGTTTTCCATGTAGGGGGAGGTTTTGACATTTGCGGATAGGCCATAGTTCAGTGGCAGAGCATCTGCTTTGCATGCAGAAGGTCCCAGGGTCAACATCTCAAGGCACAGCTGGTCATACCCCTGTTGTGTTCAGAGGGGAGCTGATCTGACTTGAACTTACAGTCCTCTGCCTGAAATCCTGGAGAGCCACTGCCAGTCGTTGCAAACAATGCTGAGCTAGTTGGACCAGTGGGCTGACTCAGGATAATGGAGCTTCCTCTGGTGCTTTCAAATGAGCAAATGCTGGGCACATTCTGAGATGGTACAGCCATGTGAAAGGCCTCTGCCACAAGAGGGCCTGCACCCCTGAATTAAAATAAGGTGGGTCAACCTTCTCAGAGGAGAAAAAGTCTCTTCACATCTCTGCTCTTACCTTTGAAGACAGGGACAGATGGTGTCTCTAGGGTGAGGAGAATCCAAATGGCAATACAGTGGTACCTCTGGTTACGTACTTAATTCGTTCCGGAGGTCCGTTCTTAACCTGAAACTGTTCTTAACCTGAGACACGACTTTAGCTAATGGCGCCTCCCACTGCTGCTGTGCTGCCACTGCGCGATTTCTGTTCTCATCCTGAAGCAAAGTTCTTAAACCAAGGTAATATTTCTGGGTTAGCAGAGTCTGTAACCTGAAGCGTATGTAACCTGAGGTACCACTGTAGTAACTATCTCAAATTCCTATCTATAACACACACACACACACAGAGAGAGAGAGAGAGAGGGAGGGAGAGAGAGAGAGACTCTGGATACGCATTTTAATTTCATGAAAGAGTAATGGCCGTAGGAATGATGCAGCTGCGGTCATCATTTCAGTCTTAATGTGCAGTTAAGCACTTTACCTTCCCACAGATGGAAGAAAAAGCAGAAAGGTATAAAAGGCCTAGGAATAGTTCAAGAAAGAAAGAAAGAAAGAAAGAAAGAAAGAAAGAAAGAAAGAAAAAGACACACTGCATTTGTTTTCCCAGACAAAGTGCCTTTTCTAACCTGTGAGGGTTTAGTGGTGCTTGCGAGGCGTATCAGCTCCCTCCAATTCATTTCGAAAATGCATGCCACACTCGCAAGCTTAGAGGGAGCTTAATTACAATCAATGGAATAATTAAATGGAGGGGAATGTGCAATAGAGAACAGAAATGAATAGGAAGCATATGCGTAAGTACACCTTTGGGCAAATGCATTAGAAGCACAAGACTGTCATTACCCCTCTCAAATCATATCTCTATTTGCTTACGTGTCTGCGAAAGGGCAGGCATACAAATAAAGCTTGTGAATGCAAATGCTGAATTATGTTGAAGCAGGGGTGTGTGTTCCCCCCCAACGAAGGCTATTCCTCCCCCCCCCAAAAAAGGGCTTATTTTCATTTTCCAAGTATCTGAAAATGAAGTATTGCTCTCAGTTTGCTCCAGGTATGTTGTCAATACTGAAGTTAGGGGTACCCTGACTGTTAAAAAATTATGGGAGGCATTCAAGCACATACCAGAATTTGTGGTTTGCCCAGTAAAAGTGGGTTAAAAGGGCTCTGTCGCCCTAGCAGAACAAACTTTGGAGGCATTGAAAAGTGTGGGTTGAACAAATGACAAATAGGAAGATGTTGTGGGGTGCCCCAAACAACTCAGGATGAATTTGAGATGAGTGTCCTTTGTCATATAACCTCTCCACAAACAAGAAGAAGAAGAAGAAGAAGAAGAAGAAGAAGAAGAAGAAGAGGAGTTTGGATTTGATATCCCGCCTTTCACTCCCTTTAAGGAGTCTCAAAGCGGCTAACATTCTCCTTTCCCTTCCTCCCCCACAACAAACACTCTGTGAGGTGAGTGGGGCTGAGAGACTTCAAAGAAGTGTGAATAGCCCAATGTCACCCAGCAGCTGCATGTGGAGGAGCGGAGACGTGAACCCAGTTCCCCAGATTACAAGACTACCGCTCTTAACCACTACACCACAAATCAGAACAAATACTCAGTAAAGACCAGATGAAGTCTAACCTCCACATAAGCTATTGTGCAAACAAATCAGGATGCACCCTCAGTAAACAGGTCATCCGGATGGACCTTAATAGGCTTGCCTTGAAATTTAAGCAATATCCTCTTCTTCCTCCTCCTGCTCCTCCCTCTCCCTTCCCCCTCCCCTGTTTGGGTGTAGAACATGCACAAGGAAGATTTGTGGGAATTGAAATTCAAATACAAGGAGAGAAATTTTTGATAGTAGGAGTTTATGCACCGAATGAGGGGAAATCTGAATTCTTTTAAAAGTTGCATAAGACCTTAATGGATTATTTGGATTACAATCTGATCTTGATGGAGGATATGAATGGAGTAGTATCCACAAATATGGATAAGGCACAAAGACAGGTAGTCACCAAGGATGGTAGACTACCGAAAATATTTTTTGAGATGACAGACAACTTGGACTTAGTCGACATCTGGAGAATAAAGAATCCCTTGGGAAGAGAGGGAACTTTCTTTTCTGAAGCCAAGATGACATGGACTAGAATTGACCAAATATGGATAACTAGAGGAATGGCACCAAAGATAAAGAAAGCGGAAATTTGTCCAAAAACCTGCTCCGACCATAATGCTGTAAGGATGGAGATGAAACTAATATCAACTGGATCCTTCAGATGGAGGATGAATGACACCTTATTTAGAGATGGAGATGTGATTAAGAAGGCCCAAAAAACTTTGAGAGATTATTTTGAGATAAATATGAACACTAATGTTGAAAAAAGAGTAATCTGGGACGCAAGCAAAGCGGTTATGAGAGGGTTCCTGATACAAAAGAATGCAATAAAGAAGAGAAGCCAAAATGAGAAGAAAGATAAAATTTTGGAGAAAATAAAAGAAAGCGAGAAGAAATTGAGAGCAAAACCAAAGTCGCAGGAGATTTTGAGAGAAATAAAGTTATATCAAGTACAATATATGGAAATGATGAATCAGGAAATAGAATGGAAAATTAAACAAATGAGACAAAAAACATTTGAATCAGCTAATAAATGTGGGAAATTGCTGGCCTGACAAATGAAAAAAAGACAAAAATTAAATACTATTACAAATTTAGAAGTGGAAGGAAAGAACATACAGAACCCAGCTGAGATTAGAAACTGTTTCCAGAGGTACTTTAAACAATTATATATGCAAGGGCCACAGAAAGAAATGGACATAGATCGATTTTTGAAGATAAATGGACTACAAAAAATCTCTCAAGAAAGCAAACTAATGTTGAACTATAAAATATCTGAACAGGAAGTAGAAGGTGCCATTCAAAACATGCAACTAGGCAAATCTCCAGGACCGGATGGGCTGACTTCTAGATACTATAGATCCTTGAAAGAGTGGTTAGTACAACCTTTAAAGGAAGTCTGCAGTGAAATATTGGAAGGGAAAAGGGCACCAGAGTCGTGGAAAGAAGCGTATATTACACTTATACCGAAAACAGAGACTGAAAAGACTCAGCTTAAGAACTACCACCCCATATCATTACTTAATGTGGATTACAAACTTTTTGCCGGTATTTTGGCCAAGAGATTGAAAAAAGTGCTGATGGATGAGATTCATAAAGACCAAGCGGGCTTTCTCCCGGGAAGACACTTGTCCGATAATTTGAGGAATATAATTGATATTTTGGAAAAC